TAAAGCCAGTATTATAATCCAAAAAATTATTAAAATTTTTTATTGTGTTTAAGATGACTCTGAAAATGTGACTTTTTAAGAAAAATATCATTATAAAAACAGGTTGGAAATGACCTCTTAGATCATCCACACCAACCATCCACCTGTCACCAATATTTCCCAAAAAAACCATGTCCCTTAGTACAACATCTAAACGTTTCTTGAACACCTCCAGGGATGGTGACTCAACCACTTCCCTGGGCATCTCATTCCAGTGCCTGACCACTCTTTTAGAGAAGAAATCTTTCCTAATGTCCAGACAGAATTTCCCTGGAAAAACTTGAGGCCATTCCCTCTAGACTTGTTGCTAATTATGCAGGAGAAGAGGCCGACCCCTATCTTATCATAACCTCCTTTCAGGGAGTTGTAGAGAGAGATAAGGTCTCAATAAAATAATCCCAGCTCCCTCAGCTGCTCTTCATAAGACTTGTGCTCCAGATCCCTCACCAGCTTTGTAGCCCTTCTCTTTCACACTCCAGAACCTCGATAAATTTCTTGTAGTGAGGGGCCCAGTGCCTAATGCAGTATCTATTCATTATATAGTCAAGGGATGACTTCACCAGGACTGAGTACAGAAGGGTGATCACCTCCCTGCTCCAGCTGGCAACACTAGTTCTGATACAATCCAGAAAATCATTCACCACCTTGGCCACCTGGACATACTGCTGACTCATGTTCTACCAAGCATCAACCAACTCTCCTAGGTCCATTTTTTCCACATAGCCTTCTAGCCACTGTGTCACAAGCCTGGAGTGTTGCTTAGGGTTTTTGCTGTGGACAAAGTGTATGTGGGACCCGGCATTTGGACTTGATCAACTTCATCCCAGTGGACTTGGCCCAGCAGGTCAGGCTGTCCAGATCCCTCTGTAGGGCCTTCCTACCCTCAGGCATATCAACTTGGTGTCATCTGCAAACTTACTGAGGGTGCACTCAATGCTCTCATCCAGGTCATCAATAAAGATACTGAACAGGACAGGCCCCAGTACTGACCTCTGGGGAACACCACTCATGATCAGCTGGATTGAACTCCATTCATGACCACTCTCTTGGCCTTGCCATCCAGCCAGTTCTTTATCCAGCAAAGAATATATCTCTCCAAGTCATGGACTGCCAGTCGCTCCAGGAGAAGACTGTGGGAGACAGCATCAAAGGCTTTGCTGAAGTCCAGGTGGACTACATCAACACTCTTGCCCTCATCCACCAGGCAGGTCATTTAATCATAGAAGGACATCAAGTTGGTAAATGAGGACCTGTCTTTCATGAACCAATGCTGACTTGGCCTGATTCTCCAGTTTTCTTGCTCATAATAACATTCGTATTCTTTTGGATTGAAACCTGTAAAGGATTCAGATGATCCCACTCAACTCAAAAGTCTAATGCTTGATTCAGAAATAAACTATGACTTTGTAAAAGAAAGTTTCTGAAATATTTGTTCCTCTTGGTGCAAACAGACTTCATCAAGAGAGTTTGCCAGTTATGTTGGCAATTGCCGGAGTGCTACTGGAATACAAAACCATTCCATGACACTAGAAACTGATCTTTTAACAAAGATTAATGTCAACTATTGCAATAACTTCTCTCCTATATTATTTACATTTTTGTGCTGGAATGTGGAACTCTAATACTATGCCATTTCTATCCCCTGAATTATTCTATTGTTAGACAAGCTTCTCCACTTTTAGTTTTGGATACTTCCCTTCATTTTCAATATAACTTTACTCATAACTGAAATATGTCAATTTTTAAGATATGTAGGGAGCAGCAGTCACCATGCAATCTAGGTGTTATAAATTTATTTTTATACTTATCACATTATTTTCTTCTCATACACACATACTGACCCAGTTACAGTGCAAAATTAGCACATACTTCAGAACAGAATGTAGACCTAATTTTGAAAACCAAGTTACAGACTTGATGTCATAAAACTCAGATTATGAACTTTTTTCCCCATAACTGGTAATTACAACCACAATTTTCACTTAACTCTCACCATAGAAACTGCACAACAATCTACTACAGCAGAAAGCCAACTACAACATAACCAGTTGATCAGAGCTCTAGTATGTTTGGGATATGGGATCATCAGTAGACTCTAAAACATGTTAGAAGAGAGGGAGAGTTTAAAGAAACTTGCCTTTATCCATGTTTGTCCCACTGTCCCTACAACTTCCTACAAGAAAATTTTCTTAAGAGTTTTATTCACTGGAAACCACTAGTCAGAGATGTATCCATACAATATCCATCAAGCCATGATTTTAAGCTTCAGTAACATGAGCTTAACTACAGTTCAATTCTTTAATTTGTTATCCAAAATCATCTGCATATTTCTTCAGACGATAAGTACAGAGCAAAATGGACAACTTAAAATATATGATTGTGATGCTTAACTGAAGAGATTGTTTTAGGAATTGACTAGAGTTAGTATGGTTGAATCCCTGCTAACAGCTACATATAAAATTGTGAGGTATATACACCTTTGCAAGTAACAACAGCAGATAGCTATACATCGTAAGACTAACCAACAGTTTAGAACAACATTCCAGCAAATTTGAAGTTATCGACAAAACACACATGCAAAACCAGAAATGACTTTTCCATCCTCCCAATGTAAACACAAATTTAGAAAATTTTGCCGAGAATATTAATTGAATTGCACATAAACAAATCAGATTGTAGAAAAATAATCCAAGAAAAAAAGTGGGCAAGGAAGGAAATACTTGGGGAAGTTTAGGAAGGAGAGAATTGTTTTACATGAAGGAATTAAGGTTGCAGACATTTATGATATATAAATATAAGGCCAGGAAAGGAAAACTAACTAAAAAATTTGTGTAACATTATCAGTTTTCTTTTTGTGCTTCACAAGTTTAGAAAGAGAAAGAAGAGAAACAGAATTTCAGCCTTGGGCAGAATAATATAGATTTTCTTTGGTGATGTATTAAAAAAAAAAAACGTAAGCATTTGCTCAGAATAGGAGACATCAAACATTGTCACTTATAACTCTGCTTCCTTTAGCGGAACACAGCAAAATGTATTAATTCAAAAATATAGAAGTCCCCTTCTACAGATTAGACCTGCTACATCACAGCAGCACTGACTGTAGTAATTACCTGTAGAACATCTAATGACTGTAGAATAAAGTCTTGACAGTTAAAATTGTTATTTTTATTTGTTTCACAAGATAACTGCAAATCTATCATTGTCTACTGCAAAAGCATTAAAATTACTTTAATAACTTTGTATCTACCAATAGATAGTTACTGTGTCTTTCCCTTTACTAATCACAAATCCATCTGGGCCATTAGATTATGACTTGTACATTTTTCATTTTACTGACTGTTCAAACTGATTCATGAAAAACAGTCAGCTTTTTCATTATTATTATTTAAATGTAATTCACGATTTAATCTGAAATTTGCAAGTGTATGCCTTCTTACAGTATTTGAATGAAAACACGTACCCTGAGGAAGAAAAATATTATGCAAAAGTACCAAATATAATCACTATTTTTAACTCTAGAGATTTAATAGAGACCAGAGAGATCTGACTAGGAAATTAGTCATTTAGAGTTTGACTTAAATCTGAGTGATGATAATGACACACACAGTTCTTAACTGAGACAGAAGATGTACTATGCTTGGCACTGCAGAAATGCATATGAAAGACCAGTCATATAAGCGGGAAAATTAATCTTCTATTTTAATTTTATATACTTAAGAAAATTAAGAAAGCATTGGGGGACAGAAAAGGCCTCTATAGTGGCATAGAACAAGACTATCCTAGTTTTTTCCTATAGTAATGCACTCTTTGGAGGGCCTGAAAAATGGGCCTCTTAATTCCCCTCCCACCACTCCACTGGCCTGACTGACCCACCATCACAGCACAGTTGAGGCTCTGCAGGACAGAAGAAATACCTTTAAAAAAAAAATTGACTTTCATCAGAGTATATTACTTAAACAAAGAAATTTATCACCATAAATAATGTTTTTTTGAGTTACCTTGACTATAGCAGTTTTGCAATAAAGCCAGTTTTTTCCAAAATGACCTGAATTCCTTATGTAACAGATAAGAGCAGCGCTCTACAACTCATACCTCTTCACACGCTGAACTATCTTACATTTCAGAAATACGGACTGAAGGCAAATGCAAGGCTTATACATGATCTTACCAGTTTTAACTGCTGCCCTGAATCCTTAAACTTCCACTAAATATCTTTAAGAGAAGTCAGAAATCTAGAAACTAGAGAAAATGAACTCTACTTTCTAACAAAGAAAGAATATAACAGCAAGATATAGTGGCTTTTGTTTGTTTGTTTTAAATAAATAGATATATTGCCTTATACATCATCTACCAAAAATGCAGTATAATCAATTTTATCTACTGAAAATAAATGTTATTTGGCTGATTAGAGACCAAAACAGTTATCTCCAAATGACTAGCTTAATTCATCCTGAATTTTGTCTCATCGTTATTCTGTGTTATACCCATAGCCTAACAGGAAAAAAAAAATGAAAGTAGAGAATAGATGATAAAAAGAGATCAGAAAGAAGAAAAACAGTGTCACTTTTCTGCAATAGAAATGCTTTTCCTCAGACTTCTCTTCAAAACCATAGAATTTATTTTGCAGGAGAATTAGCAGAATAAAAGCTCCTGAAATACAACTGTCCAAAGAGAATTCACTTGGTTAAAAGCTTGAAGATCCTCTGTGATAACCAGCCAGTTTTATAACTTACATACATCTTCATGGAGGCAATAAAAAACAATTTCTATTCAACTTCTGTTCCTTCAGAACCCAGAAACAAGTCCTACTCTGTACACATTTATGTTGGCCCTGACAACATTTGATGAAGTTGCCAAGCCACCATCCATCGCATTTGAAAAGTCATGGCAGCCTGAAGTCCCCTGTGATTGGAAAAGGGGAAACATAGCCCCTATTTTTAAGAAGGGAAAAAGGAACTACAGGCCAGTCAGTCCCAACTCTGTGTCTGGCAAGATCATGCAGCAGATCCTCCTGAAGGCCCTAAAAGCACATTAAAAAAAAATATGAGGTGATTAGTGGTAACAACATGGCTTCACCAACGGCAAGTCATGCCTGACAAACTTTGTGTCCTTTTATGATGGAGTTACAGAACCAGTGGATAAAGGAAGACCAACTGACATCATCTACCTGGACCTGTGCAAAGCATTTGATGCTGTCCCACATGACAACTTGGTCACCAAACTGGAGAAAAATGGATTTGATGAATGGACCACTTGCTGGATAATGAATTGGTCAGAAGGTCACACTCAGAGTGGTCAGAAGGACATGCTCAGTGTCCAAATGAAGATTGGTGACAAGTGGATCTCCTCGGGGATCAATGTTGGGTCTAGTGTTATTTAGCACCTTTGTAGTTGACATGGTCAGTGGGATCAAACGCACCCTCAGCAAGACTTCAGACTATATCAAGTTGAGTGGTGCAGTTGACACACTAGAGAGGTGGGCCCATGCCAACTTTATCAAGTTCAACAAAGCCACATGTAAGGTCAGGCACCAGGGTTGAGGTAATCCTAAGCACAGATACAGGTTGGGCAGAGAATGGCCTGAGAGCAGCACTGAGAAAAAGGATTTGCTCTCACAAGCTTCCCCATGGAGTACTGCATCCAGTTATGGAGCTCTCAAGACAAGAAGGACAGGGAGCTGTTGCAGCAAGTCCAGAGAAGTATGAAGACAGCCAGAGGGCTAGAGCATCTCCACCATGAGGACATGCAGAAAGCAGTGAGGAATTTCAGCCTGGGTAAGAACAGGCTCTAAGGAAATAATACAGCAGCCTTCCAGTACCCAACTGGGAGCCTACAGGAAAGCTAAGGAGGGACCTTTTATAAGGGCACGTAGCAATAAGAGAAGGGGAAATGGCTTTAAACTGGAAAAGGGTAGATTTAAACTAGATATTAAGAAGAAATTCTTTATTGTGAGGGTGGTGAGACACTGCAACTGGTAGCCCACTGAGGTTGTGAATGTTCCTACCCCTGGAAGCAGTCAAGGCCAGGCTGGACGGGGTTTTGAGCAACCTGGTCTAGAGGAAGGTGTCCCTGCCTACAGCAGGGGGGTTGGAAGTAGGTGACCTTAAAGGTCACTTGAACCCAAACCCTTCTATGATTTTATTGTCTATATTCCCTTACACTTCAGATCTCATTTCTTATAAAATTAAATTCAAAGAAGCAAAACATTTATACTTAAAATTAATATTTAATTCCTCCTTGTATAACCAAGATGTTATAATCACAATATAATTGCGTATAATCAATAGATATCAAGATGTTATAATCACAATATAATCAAGAGAGTAAGGCAAAGCAGACAACGATAACAAAAAGAGAATAAGTGGAAGAGCTTACCCTTCAGCTGAGCTCACCAGAAGACACCAAAAGAAGGGATCTCCAGAAGAGACCCTTCCCCTCTGGTAGCCAGCTCTTAAATAGGTCTAGGAGGGGTGGAGCCAGGCTCCACCCCTTCCAGCAGCACAGGTGAACTGCCTTCACCTGTGCTCCTCTGGCTGACTCAAGGCTCACCTCAGGTGATCAATCAGAGGTTCAGGCCGTGACTCAGCAGTTCCCATACACTCCTGTACTTGTATTTTATTGATATTTACCAAAATACTACCTGATTTTGGTTTTTTACCCCTATAGCTTCATTGACCTGATGATTCAAATAGATAAACCTGCAAATCTGTAAATGTATTAGCAGACATTAAGTTCATGGACACTTTCATATAACGTGCTCTGTTGACAAATTTTATGAACAATGAAAAACTGAGAATAGTTTCACTTTAAATGGGCAAAAAAATTGATAATGTATTATCGAGTTCCTCTTTATTCTTTTAGTGACATTATTATGTTAAACCAGATAGGAGTACAATAATAAAAGGTCCTTTTAAAAGACTTAAAAAAAATATCTGCATATGCCATTAAACATTTGTGTATATTCAGACAAGAGGTGTAAAAATGGTAATTTAGGAAAGACACATTCATGAGACAGCTGAAGGCTGTTTTTCCAAAGTAAAGACTTTATTTACATTTTAATTGGAATTAACCACTGTTCTTTTCTTCTTCTTCTTCTTCCATTTCCATGCCAAACAACCTTAAATAAGCATAGGTTTCAGTTCCTAACAAGTGGACAATATGAGGCTCTTTAGCTACTCTGTATCATCTCTTTTCAGGTTCAGTAATCAACAGAAGGTCCGCTTTTTTGAGAATCTTTTGGTGATACAAGTGTCAAATTAACAACACATAGATTTGGTTTAATGTTGCTGTTGCCAAAAATGTTATAACCCCATTTTAAAAGAGCAATTACTCCACATCTGTTGATTGGTACTAAACTAACACTGTCTTCGTGCAGTTTGAATAGTGCAGAAGTGCTGCACCTGTTTCTAATTGAATTATTAGTGGAACTGTCTATTGCTGTCTATCTTTTCATTTGTGCTATATCTTTTCATTTCTGTATAATTTAAGGAGGGAACTGCATTCAGTGGCTTTGTCTTTTTATATTTTACTATCTAACTTTTATGATTCATCTTCTAAATTGTATTCTTCTAAATTATTTTAGTTCGTACATAAAGAATTCAGAAAATTACAGAAGAAGGCCTTCTTTCATCTATTTGCCTTCTTTCTCCAATATGTTTTCTTAATACCTGAGAAAACCTCTGCATTCAGAAAAGTATTGTTGTTCTCTGACAACTCGACAGATAACAGATTCTGGTGAAGCCCAGAAGTCTTTTGTTCCAGTGCATACCAAAGAACTATGCACAAGGAGAGATTGGACAGAACATAAATGGTTTTAACTAAAACAACAAATGCTGAAATCCATGTTACAAGAATTAGCTCAGATAAGAGTAGACACAGAGAATAGCAGAGGAGATCAACCAAATGCTCCCCACCTACCACTTGTACGTGTAACTGACCAGTAAATGGTATTTTGTTTCCCATTTTAGTCTGTACTTCTCACTATGACTGTGTAGGATAGGGGACAAAATGATTTAAGCTGGTAAGACTAATACAGAGAGTTGACATAACCATGATTTATTGATTCTTCTGATCCTTTTCAGATTCCAGTAATCATTATTTTACGCACACACAAATGATTACATAAATGACTTTCTCAAGTAGAAGTAGCTATCAAAGTAAAAACACTGTAACAGTTTGTTTCAATTTAAAATTTACCAAAACGTATTGAACAGATGACTAATTTGTGATGCAATTCATTCAGATTACTACTTTGGTGCAAAATGATATTGCTTTCATTTCATAGTTTTAAAAATTATAGATGTTTCAACATTATCAAAGCAGTAATGCTATACTAAATAAATTATATGGAATGTAATGAAATTAAGGTACTTCAGAACTTTGATTAAATAATGGTAATACAACTAATTAAATATATTTTGAACTATTAACAAGCGACTTAATTCATTACACTAATTTTTGGTAATGTTCCAACATATTCAAACAAATAGAATTGTACATTCCCCTTATTTAACTTAATATGTTAATTAAGTTGCTCTTATTATCTTAATCTTCAACGGTGAAAATGGATATGTCAATCTCCCAGTTGTTCAAGTAAAATCCCTGTAATCTTGGGACTTTGCCTCTTAATGGCTAGGTACATTTTAAACCTCCAGGGTAGCCAAGTTAATTCCATTGTATAATAGTCACTCCTGTAAAACTTGACTTCCACTGCATTCCAATTCTCAAAACCAATTAGTACACTTTATGATTCCATTTGGAACAGCTCCAAGTTTACAACCATATCACTATACTTCATTATTACTTTATTTAAACAGTCTGACTTAGATCCTTTCTATTGTAAGGTGGTCTCCTAACAAGTTCTAGAAATATTGCACATATTTAACAGATGTCAGTACTACAGATTTTTAATTGCCTGCTCTTACTTTATAACATTTACTCAAGCACTTGAATCATGGAACCATTTGGTGACAGAGAGATATGCTGTCCTTCAAATTGGACAAGAGGGGCAAAGAGGTCATGGGAATGAAAATAAGAAAAAAGTCACACTCAAATTTGAAAGCAGCATAGCTACAAGACACTTTGGCTAATAGCTCGACAGTATAGATGTGACACATAATGGAGAATTCCATACAAAACCTCCAGGGTTTGCTCTTGGCTCTCAAGCACTCAGAAAGGTAGAGGTTTTGTAAGTACCTTGACCTTGCAGTCTGCTACTGTGGCAAATAAATTAATAAGTGTTCCCATCAAGGTCCAAGGAAGTAGTCAGAAGGCCAAATTAAACATGTAGAAAACAAGCATCACACATCACTTACCTTTTCCTCAATAAAGCATTGTTTTTCACAGTGTTTTCTCATATGAGTGCTAAACAGAAGAGAAAAATGATCTGTTTAGAGGCTAAGAAGCATTACCATTTATTTAGAAGATACTTTATCATAAGTCTATTTGCTGTTCTGTATTAACTAAGAGCCAGAAACCCAGTGGGATAGGTAATCACTTCTGAAAACTTTCTGAACTCGCAGTAAAACCTTACTGACTGCCTGAGGAATCTCTCTCCATATTCAGTTTTCTGAAAGAATATAGTTCAGTGTCCCTGCTAAAACAACTTGGGAACTCAGCAAGACGTTTCAGATAAACAACTAACTCAACACTACTTTAT